GCCTCCAGGGGATAAAATCAGCAATTTATGCAACACATATGCCTGCATTCTAACTCTGCAACTGCTGGAAGGGGTATCTGACCCTCTTTCTTTCCATCTGCACAGTGGAGACTGCATTAACTTTTTATGCAGTATGCTTCATCAGAAGAGAGCTGTTCTGGTGGTTTTCCCAGAGTTTGTATTCTAATCTCCTACACACTAGGTTTACAGAAGTTAATATTCATTTTATGCAAGTGTTAAGACTTTTGTTTAAAAATAAAGTAAATGCTTTGCCCCTTCACAGAATATGGAAATAGTTCTTAAACTTGAGCAAAGCAAAAATATACTATGTATAAAATGTGTGCAGCATAGCCAACAAAACAGACACACAGGCAGAAGTGCCCATTCTTGTCACATCCCCTCCTGGTCCAACCCTGCATGCTCTTCCTGGAAACAAGGCGCACACATCTATTTCTGGGAGGAGCATGCAGGATTGAACTGAGAGTCTGTGGCAAGGATGGGAGCTCCTGCGTGTTCTAGGTTTATCAGATAAACCTAATGTAGTAGCCACAATCCTTCCCAGTCCAGCTCTGCAGAGGGCACACAGGGTAGTTTCACCCTGTTGCAGTGGTGGGGGTACCTGTGCTGCAGCACCCCGAAAGGCTTTTACAGCATTTTTTGGTTTTGTAACCTTTCAGAACCCTCCCAGAGCCTTTCCTAGCTTTTTACCTTTCATTTCTTTTGGGTTTGTCCTCTAATAATTTTCCTATAGAGTCTGACTAGGCAATAGCAACATACAACTCTCCAATAACTCTGGTAGCTTTTATGTTAATATGACACCAGCTTTTTACTTCCTTTTGACCAGGGATCCTGGTTTTCTCTGTTTAAACACTCAAAATTCTCTGATTAAGACCCCCAGAATCTGTGTTTATTAAAATGAAATGCTGTGTGTGTCTGTTGAACACAATGTTTTATTGTTATAGTTACAATTTTAAAGTAGTTTAAAAGCCTACCAGTGCCTCTGTCATTATAATAAATTCTGAATACCTATGTATTTTTGCATTTGATTTTGGTATTTTTACCATAGAAAATCAGAGCTCCCCCTGCCGCCTTCACTCACCCGGATGCAGGTCTAGCTACAGCTGCCCTCCTGCTGCTTTGAGGGACTGGGAAGCTCTGATGTCAGTGCCCATCACTTCCAAGCCACAGCCTCCCCCAGCCCTGCTAGTGTCCAGTTGCCATCCCCCACTCCCCTCAGCCCAAATCAGCTCCTTGCAGGCTGGAACTCTGCCAGCCTGCAAGGGTAAACCCATGATTTCCTGTGTTTTTTCTCTTTTTGAAGGAGAAAGTCTCTATTTTTCCATTGCAAATGGAAAACCTGGATCTCTGTTTCTAACACATTAATGGTGCTCAGGAAAAAACTCTTCCAGCTGTTTAGATTATGAGACTATTTATGCATATTCTTAGCTAAAAGGGAAAGATTCATGCACATGTTGCTGGAAATAATGCCTCTCTTCTGTGTAACTAGGGATAAGCAGAAATATGTTGTTTTGCACCCACTGCTGACTTATGAATCATCAGCTTATCCGTTTTCTAAAGGCTATGTGAAGAGTACTGCTTATTTACACTGCTCAGACACATTCACAGTTGTTGACAGTACATACAGTATCTTATTAACTTTTATACTCTTGTTGTCTTTGAAGATGAGATTAGAAACGCAAAAGAACCTGCTTTTTCTGTGCACTTATAAGCTTAAGTTTGTCATATTTGTTTCCCTTGTTGTTTTAAGAGCCTTTTCCCTTCAAAACAAACTACTTTTTTCCCCTTTGGTTCTAACTTAGCTTTAACAGTGAATTTTAAATTGAACTTATGTCTTTCTCCTGAAATTGTGGAAGGTACATGAGATTCCCTACTGTGGGGAACATGAAAATGTTGAAACATCCATCTATTTTCATGGACTCCTTTTTAATGAAAATTCATCTTGAAAAGGGCAAACTTCTTTTCCATCAAGCATTGCTTGAAATGAAGAGATTAGCACACATGGGTGATGGGTAATTCAGTCTACTAGCTAGTTGCTGGCCTCCCTTCAGCTTTAGATAACCTTTCTGTCTTTCAAGATTACCCTTGGGTGTCCAGCATTGAAGAATGAGTTATTGGTAGCTTTGCAATGCAGTTCAGTGTGTTCATATTATTCCTAACTGTGATATGTATTTTTAATGACTTAATACAGCAAGTAGACTTTGCTTTGGAATTCAAGAAGCAAAATTTCTCTGCTTCTATTGCTAATCTATCCC